AAAAATGAATACTTTTTTTTTTCTATCTATTTATTTTTGTTTTTCATTTGAATATCAAATACGAATTATATTCAGTATACGAATAGATCGGTGGGTGTGGGTGTGAGATGATAGAAGATCCACATCCACACCCTCACTTCAAAAATTGTCATTTTGCAGAGCGAGTTGAGAAAAAATAGAACTTTGGAACAACGTTTAAACGAAAAATGTGCGACTCCGATGTTTAGATCATTGCGACACAAAATAGCAATTCGAGTGGAGGGTCGATAAAGTAAAAAAAAAAAACCGCGAACGATTACTATACAGCGCTCTACACCGCAATCAATAGAGCTATGATCGTTTCCTATGGAATCAAAGATGATTCAGCAGTTGAAGAATTGCAGGACATTCGTTATTTTGACTTGAGACCCTATACAAAAAAAAGTCGATTTCTATCAGAATTATTGAAATTAAAATAAACGCATGAGAACATAGCTTGATATCAAATCTTGCACAAACAATATGATTTTTTATTTGACATGTCGTTTTTTATGAAAACTTTTCCATTGTAGAAAAGTCTAGAATCGTTTAGTTTTTTGAGCCTTTGGCTCTTGAAATTTTACTAGGCTTTTCATCCCCACAGGTAATATGAAAAATCAGCTTTCGATTTCAAACTTTGCATGAACAAAATTTTCCATGAGATTAGTTCATAGAACAAGTTGTAATTTTTCTGGTATCTCCTATCCTGAGATATTCAATATTCGAAATTCTCTTATATGTAAAAGCAAATTTGCATCTGAAGTCGAAAGTCGGTTGTCCACACGATCTGAGGGGGGGGGGGAGACAGAAAACTCAGTAAAATCTCGATATCTTGAGAACGAAGGATCAGAAAACTAAACTATTCTAGACTTTTCTATTACTCACTAGTACTCCTCAAATGGACATCGTCTCGACTGAAAAGTGATTTGACACTCGAAGAGGTTCTCTCATAAGCTTTTTTTCTTACTATATTAAAAAAGGCACTTCTATAAATACATGATCATTTTTTGAAAGATCTTGGTTTGATGAATATTCCTCAAAAACATAATGGTGTAAGGCTGAAAATTTCGTGCGATTTGAATGCACTTGCCCCAAGATCGACTTTTGAGTATATTTTGGGATTCAGAAATTGTCTTGAAGCGTTAAAAAATTCGAGAAGAAATCAAATTAGCAAAAATTATGGATTATTTCGCGTTTTTTTTTCGAAACCAATCTTTGAACAGAAAAATTGAAGGTTTTCTCTAGGACACTTCGACCGATTGAGTTGAAATTTTTAAGTGTGACATCTAGGATCAAACCAGAATGTACATGTATTGTTTTTTTTCTTAAAATAATATTCTGGTGAGTTTTTGACAGAGCTTCAGTATTTTGGTTCTCCTAACTAAAGGAAACAACACTTTTTAAAGGAAAAAAATATACATATACACTCCAATTAGGTCCTAGTTGTTACAAAAAAATGTATTATGGCTGTTGGTCGGGGAGGAAACTTCCGGTCATTTGCGTGCTCTATATCTCATAGAGGGAAGTATTCAAAAATTCTGAGTATATGACAACTTTTGCTCTATTACTCGAGAGGAAACTAGAGAGAGAGGGGACATGCCCTCATAAGAAGTTATTAATCTGCGTGAAGAAACTTTATTCATAGATTTAATTGTATATATGCAACAAACTATAATAAATAAAATGATTTGCCATTTACGATTGAAAAACACAATATATATATATATATGTAAAAAGAGTTCTATCCGTTGTTGTCTTCATATTAATTAAAAAGACGATTGAACTTTATGCTTAAAGCAAGACATTGTTATTCATTCTATAGCAAAATTAGTATAGATCAATTGATTGAAAATATTAATCTACGTTTTTATATTTCATATAATTCAACGAAATCAATAACATTGACATCATTCTAAAACTTTGTCTATAAACTATTTATAATATTCCTAACATTTGCTTTTTATGTTGATTTTATTGAATTTTCTCCACACTCACTTATGAATACATTAGCTGATTCATTTTCTTTTTTCGCATCATCAATTCATCTCCTGTCTATCATTGCATCCGTCGTGTATCATGATTAGAGAAAATGAATTCATTCATTCCTAGCTTCAAACACGCTACTATATATATATATTTGGTATATAGATATATATAAATTTCTTTTTTTGTTTTTTTTTTTGTTTTATGGAATATGATAATCTGATAATGACATTGTCGCGTGTATGTTTCCTATATGTAACGGATGTGCTTGAAGGCACATCAGACATTGATTGGTTAAAAAATATGATTGGTTTGTTTGAAGCAGGTGGCCGGAAAAAGAAAATCAATTGATTGTCACAAACATTTTCTCTCTATTTCTCTCTCTCTCTCTCTCTCTTCTTTCTTCAAATATTATATTATGTACATGAAAAATATAAGAGAAACATATCGATTTAATTCTTTTTATACAAAACAGATTTAATTAATAGAGTTATAAAAAAGAAAAAAAAGAATAGTATTATTAATTTAATTTGAATATGTTCAATATAAACAGTGATTGTATCAATAATCAAGCGGATAATAATAAAAAACAAGAACAACAAGGTAAGGAAATCAAGTTTAATTAAGGTGAAACAAAGATTTGTATATGTGTGGGAAATACTTTACTTCACTTATGAGTTTTTTTTTTTTTATTTATGAGTTCGTCTATCGAGCCATTCATTGTCATCAATCGATCGTAATAATCGTTTTTCTCCACCGACAATAACAAGAACTTCATCAACATCATCTCATGATGATACTCATCTATCGTCACAATCGAATAAATTACTTATTTCTTCATCATCACCATTATCAATAGCAAAACCAAAACGTCATCGAACACGTTTTACACCAGCACAACTCAATGAACTTGAAAGATCATTTAATAAAACACATTATCCAGATATTTTTATGCGAGAAGAATTAGCTGTACGAATTAGTTTAACGGAATCACGCGTTCAGGTTAATAATTTAAAATTTTCTTTTATTTTATTATTGAATAATAATTTTTGATAGGTTTGGTTTCAAAATCGTCGTGCTAAATGGAAAAAACGAAAGAAAACAACAAATGTTTTTCGTCAACATCATCAACCACAACATCCTCAATCATTAACTCCATATGGATGTTTAATAAATTCAACAATTGATGGACAATCTTCAATATCACAAACTGATCATCATTATGTAAAATGGCCTATTAATAATAATAATTGCAATCAATTTTCATTTTCATCATCAAATTTTGCTCCAGTAATCAATTAAATAAAGAAATTCATAATAATCTATAGAGATGATTTTTCTTTTTTTTTTCTTTATTGATTTAGATCGATCAATCATTAGCTCCACATTTTTATTCATCGAGTGCAATGACTGATTATGTTAGTTTACCTCCACCACCGGCACCACCAACTTCACTCTTTTCAACTACATTACCATCAATAATTAATATTGATCCACTTAATTCATGTTCATCAGGTTCATCATATAATTTATCATTTCCTCCATCATCTACAACATTTACTAGTGATGTTATAACAAATGATAATGATGATATTTGGCGTGGTTCAAGTATTGCTTCTCTACGACGTAAAGCTGTTGAATATCAAGCAGGAAGCAATGACAATTACAAATAACACTTTTTTTTTTCTTTACTTGTGACATAATTTTATTTCTTTGTCAAACATATATATTTAATTGTTGTCATTCATTACAATCCAGATTATTTTTAAATATTTCATTTTTAATAACTATCATTCAATTGCAAAAAAACAATTAGTAGATTATAGAAATAACATTCATTATTAAATATGATATCAATGAAAAAATAATATAAGTCTTTTTTTTTCTGTGAAACGTCATAGCAACAATTATAGGGTACGTTTTTTGATATCAAACTCTTTTCCCAGGAGTAACAGAAAAAAGGCACTGAACAAAATTAACAACAAGAATAAGATTGTTCGAGAATATTCGAAAGCTTTCCTCGAAATTTACATGACTGAAATACATGTGGGAAGCATTCTAAATAATGCACTTTTTGATTTTTGCCCAGATAAAAATTTATCTTCAAGATGTTAAAGATGATACATTGATTTATTACAATCGTCATATAATTAACATACAAAGCGTGAATTGATCAAAGTATAAATTAATATTAATGTTTCTGAGTTTATCGAGATATATAATGATTATGTACAACAGACTTATTTGTTAGTTAAATCAATAGTTAATATTAAATTAAGACAAACAATATACGAAAACAACGAGAGGAGAGCAACAAGGTTTTTAACCAAAACTTCTAGAGAATGTTAGTCTTGACTAGAATAGATTACGGATAAAATATTCTTTCCAGAAATTCCAAGATACTTATGAGTTATAGTCAATTCATTGGTCAAAAATACCTTTTATACGAGTAAGGTTTTTAAAATGAGGATACGGGCTAACATATCAGAGCGGCTTTTACATTGTAGAGTACACTTAAAGTTAGGTTGTAATAGAGCTTGATTGGTTTAAACAGAAAATTTTTTTTTAGAAAAGTTTGTTCGCGTATACCGTATATTAGAATTTCGAAATAAGTCTGGTTATATTATCTAATATTTTTGCACCATTTGTCAAGCTTATATGGGATATGGGTAAAGTTCTGCAAGACTCTAAGAGCGAAGTCTTTATTCTATCCACAGCTCACATTCCAAATATTCATAATCAATTCAATGTCATTGAAGCCTATATGAAATTAATTTTCGTGCTATCAAACTACAAAAGTAATTTAAAGTTCATTGCATAGATTAGCAGAATATGTATCAACCGAGTTTTTCTCAAAAAAAAAGAACCCGAATTTTCTGAGGGGAAAGTTTCTTTTATATATTTTGGGTTTGCATAATGGGGCGGGTGGCTACATACAAGTGCCATATTTTAGCTCCAAAGAGGTTGTACTGAAAAGTTTTGTTTTAAAGAATTTTTATTTAAACCCAAGTACCATTAACACATGTTGTATCTGTTTTGTTTACAGCTTCTATTCCATATAACATCGTAACTAATTTTTCAGGCATTGCTGGACACCATACTTTGATACCACTAAAAGTACATGGTTTTAATGGAAATGTCCATTCAATTGGTGAAGATATCCATGTATAATATCTACTATATTCCGTAAGAGTTTTCATAGTATTTGTGGTATTTTTTAATTGATCAGGATGATAATCATAAATAGGCCAAATATCTACATGATAACGAAGTTTTCGATGTATAAATCGAGCATTAGGTGCTATGAAATGAATACCTTGTAATGGAAAATAAGAACGGTTTGTATATCCAACAAAAGACCATTGTGGATGAACTTTAATTTCATAGATTGATGAAAAATTGACATCAGAAAATGGAACAAGTAGTTGTGTATCTTGTGCTAACATTAATATATCAGTATCAGAATCATGTGGTAATAAACCTCGACGTTGTACATAACCTACAAGTGTTCCATAAGCTATCCAATATTGAATATTATGTGTATAAGCAAAATGAGTCCATGCATGAAAAATTGATAGTAGAATTCGTTGACGAGAACGATCTTGTGAATTACAGATTGGCATTTGTTCAAGAGCTTCTTCAATTGAATTATTTGTATTTGATATTAAATTAATAGAAATAATATTATTATCAGAATAATAAGCAATCATAAACAAAATGAATACTAGTAAAACTAACAACGTAAATTGTCTGAATAATTCTGGAATATACATTATATAAGTAAATATAATCAATTATTGAATATTGCGACAAGATGTATTGTTTTGTTTTGCTTGTTTACTTTTATGTCAAGTAATTATATGTGACTATAATAGAAGTAAGATACTGAAATGACATAATAATTGCTAATAACAATGACAATCACTAAAGAATTTACTCATTTTGTTCTGTATGAAAGTTTGATTAACTCTCTTAACAAAATATTCATCAAAAGTTATTTAAGGGAGAGTCCGCCAGAATACTGACCATGGTGGCGGCGGAAAAATTTTAGATTTCGACTTTAATCAATCTCATTCAAAAGCTCATAAAAAGTTACTTAGGAAACCAAAATATCAATTCATTTTGATTTATCTATAAGAAAATAGCAGAGATTCTATCGTTTGATGCTTTGAGGTGTGAAACATCTCAAATGATAGAGAATGGCATTCTCTACAAAATAGACTATTTCTATTATTTTCTGAATGCAATTTTTTATGAGAAAGAAATCAAGTTTGAAAAAAAAAAGTGCACAATTCCAATTATCAAATTTCAGTGTCATGGGCGAATATTCTACCAAAGTAAGAGATCCCAGACTAAATTTTTGATATGTTGTAGCCCTGCTCACAGCGCATCTTTTGGTATATTTCTCATTGAAAAATTTCATCAGGAGATAATAAAAGCTTTCGTCACAAAAGTTCGAATATAGCACTATTTTACACTTCTAACATAATACGAATGAATTATTTCGTGAGTACGTCGAGAATGTATTTATTTGAATAGTTTGAAGTTTTATAATCGGAAAGACAATATGAAAACTGATGGTCCATAGTAAATTCAACGAATCATTGAACTGATCACTGTTGAGTACTTCTTGATACATAATTGAAGAAATCATAGAAGCAATTTTTACTACTTCCTTGTTGTCCTTCATATAAATCAAAGTAATGCAATACTAACTCAGTACTTCTATGTCATATCTATACACTATATCGTAGTTTTTTTTCATTTCCTTTATCACTGTACATGTGTGTTAAATAGGCAGACTCCGTGTTTTCTTTCAGAAGTGATCAGGAGTATTTTATTATTAGTTTAGTGACAATATTGATGGATGATTAGGAAAAAGTTCTGAATATAATGAGAATAAATACTATAAAAAAAAAAGAAATTTTGTGATGAAAATCAATAACACGAAAATGACAAGAGAATATAAAAGTTGTCGACAGAACAGGTGAAAATAATTCAAAAAACTTGTCAGCACAGCTCCTTTGGAGCTGAAATGTGGAACTCATGTATATTCTTCCAAGTTGTTATTCTAATACATTATTTGTACACTGAAAAATAGGTTTTTCTTTCAAATAATTATGAATACATTAGAATATTGTATAGAATCTGAAGTCTTCTGTGCACGGTTCCGGAGATCTGTAATGATGGCCTGTCTGTAATGGGGTGGAAGGGAAGAAAGGAGAACGGGAAAACCTTAAAGTTAAAACTTATACTCACCATTTTCTTCGAAAATATACATGACTTCCACAAAATAATATGAAACCACAACGGAATATATTTTAAGATTTCATTTATGTATTTATTACTCTATCTCAGGATGTTGAGAAGTGTTATGTGGTATCATCAGAACAATGAATAATAAAAACCAATAAAAATCACACGTACTAATAATAAAATTTGCAGAAAGAACGAAAGAAAAAACAAACACTTTTGAAAATATCCATTCTTTCTTTTTTTTCTTCCCACATATTTTAGTATTAATATGTGTATGTTCGTATTCTTGATCATTCTTTTTTCTGATGATGTCACGTAATGTTTGTTGAAAGTTTGAGATAGAGAGTAATGAGTGCATAAATACAATCTAAAAATGTATTTTATTTTAATTTAACATTATTTGTTTTATTAGCAGAGAGCAATTGAAAAATACAAGAATGTCCAGGGGATATAACAACAGCCGCTTATGAATTTCTTACGATTTTGCGACTAAATAGCCGTATAGAAACAAAACAGAGAAGGAGAGAATACAATGTTGAATTATTCTATACACTTCGATATAATTCGGTTACATCCCAATGGACTCACTTTTCCTCTTGCTGTGGTATAAATATAGATTTCAATAGTCATAAAAGCACAGTTACTCTACTATTCCAGTTAATTTCTAACTTGATCCAAAATTACTCTCACTTTATACACATTTTCAAATGGCTGAAAGCAACACTCTATCTTTTTTTTGTCTCATACGTTCCAGATGTGAGTTTTAGTATGTTCTATATATCCTCCTGGCCCCAATAAAAAACATACCTAGTTTTTACAATTATCCTTCTCACACACGTCGTTGAAATTGTTCTCATATTTATACCACAGATGCATCTTTGATTGCTTGACTTACCCTGAAAGTTTCAGCTATACACAATAAATTGTCACTGAGAAAATTAAAAATATGTGTCGTGTACTCGACTATACTGACAGACATCTTAAGATGTCTGTCAGTATAGTCATGTATCAAAGCTAACTAACTGTCACCTTGAACTTCAAATAAAATTTAAAATAATGAAAAAATCAGCAAAACAACAAATTATGGTTTCATTGCTACATGAGTATATGACACATATTTTTAATTTTCTCAGCGACAATTTATTTTGTATAGCTGAAACTTTCAGGATAAGTCAAGCAATCAAAGATGCATCTGTGGTATAAATATGAGACCAATTTCAATGGTGCAGAGAAGGATAATTGTAAAAATTACGTGTGTCTTTTATTGAGGCCAAGAGGATATATCAAATCAATGAATTTCTAAACACTATGCTTCTGATGTATATTAGTAAAATTCATTGTGTTCAATGAAGCTTTCTCTATCTTTTTATTTCAGGATCTGCTCTCCGGATACTACTATCCTTGACAGTATTTTTATTATGTACTGTTTAACAAGTGTGTAAGCTCATTCAAACGCCCAATTCACAGGTCAAAATATATCTATACCTAAGTCATACTCAACAGGAAAGTAGTAAAACTTGCCTCTATGATTTCTTCAATTATATATCAAGAAGTACTCAACAGTGATCAGTTCAATGATTCGTCGAATTTACTATGGACCATCAGTTTTCATATTGTCTTTCCGATTATAAAACTTCAAACTATTCAAATAAATACATTCTCGACGTATTCACGCAATAATTCATTAGTATTATGTTAGAAGTGTAAAATAGTGCTATATTCGAACTTGTGTGATGAAAACTTTTATTATCTCCTGATGAAATTTTTCAACGAGAAATACACCAAAAGATGCGCTGTGAGCAGGGCTACAACATATCAAAAATTCAGTCTGGGATCTCTTACTTTGATAGAATATTCGTCCATGACACTGAAATTTGATAATTGGAATTGTGCACTTCTTTTTTTTTCAAACTTGATTTCTTTCTCATAAAAAATTGCATTCAGAAAATAATAGAAATAGGCTATTTTGTAGAGAATTTCATTCTCTATCATTTGAGATGTTTCACACCTCAAAGCATCAGACGATGAAAGAGAAAATCGGAAAATACAACCATGATTGAAAAAATTGATTTTTAGGATATAATCCGAGAAGTCGAAAAAATGGAGTCGCTGCTATTTTCTTCTAGATAAATCAAAATGAATTGATATTTTGGTTTCCTAAGTAATTTTTTATGAACTTTCGAATGAGATTGATCAAAGTTGAAATGTAAAATTTTTTCGTCACCACCTCTCCATTATATTGGTCAGTTTTCTGGCGGACTCTCTCTTAAAATATCAGTGATATTGTCCCTTAGATAAAGAAGATTGCATGAACTATATATGAAAATATTAATGAATTAGAAATATGATGATTATATTATTATGGTGTGTACTTATTCTTCTACACCATGATTCTCTTCAAATTCTAATAAAATGTCATAGGTAATGCTGACAATTAAACTCAAGATTTTGAATCAATTTGTACTTGGAACTGGACCGATAGATTTTTAGGACATTAAAGCTGACTTATTTTGCTGATTTTTAACGATTTCCATGGTTTTAATGATAAAAAGATATGAGCCTGGAAGCCTCCAACTGACATGTGGAATGAATTTAGCCATGTGTTAGAAGTTAATTTCGGTCTAACCTAAAGTTTTTTCACTTTGAAATTTCGATCTCACTTTTGTGAACTATCTTTAACTGACTCTCAAAAAATCCCAATAGCTAGTACGTTTCAGTTCATGCTTTCGTTAGAAAAGATCAGAAAAGATTTCGTTCTGTTATCAAGATATTATTAAATACTAGCATCATGCAACGGTAAAAATATTTTTCTATCGACAATAGTATCCTTTAATGAATTGAGATGTTTTTCAGTTGTGTTAAATTATTATTTCAAATAAGAATAGATCAAAATTATCAATTGTAAAGAAATCATATCATTATTAAACAAAAAAAAGTCGGTCAATTCATAGTATAAACGCTAGTTGCTGTGAGTTACCAGATAAATTGTTTTGAAAGAAATCTTTGTTGATTCTTAATGTTAGGATATATACAACATGACAATTTGTCTTTGTAGAACCTAAGTAATAGACTGTTTCGCAAAAGAACGGACTAGGTAATAGATAAATTAAACGTACCGAATTTTTCCCGGTTCTAAGTATGAATCAATTTAAGGATACACCTTCCATCTTTTCGAAGTCTCTGGAAAACGGTTCATTAGAAATATTTGAAACTTTTGAGGACAGATAGATCTTAAAGAGTAAAAGCTTCCGAATGCTATCTTCTATCAGATATTGGCTTCACAATTGGTCAAAATCGTTCTTTTCGAGATCAAAAGAAGTTTGTTATTTTTCAGATCGATGGAGAACACTTCCAAGTATAAACGTATACTAATGAAAAACGAAAAATTAAAAAAATTATAATTTTTTTTTTATATCCGAAAAGCGGGGGAAGGTGTCCGTAATGAATCTACAAA